AAAATTTTGCTTACTCCCTCTGGTTCAGTATGGACTGATCCTGAGAATCCATTTTCAGCAAATAATAAATGTAAAAGTAAAATTTGTAATTGGTCTACTTATCTTGAAAAACTAAAATGAGCTAATATTTTTTCAATAATTTAAAGTTTCAATAAACATTTTCCCTTTCAAATTATATAATACAAAGAAAATTTTGCAAAATTTACTTAATGGCGTATTTCTTCTCCAAGACAAGGTTTTTTTCATGTAATGAACAACAGAAATCTTGAAAGTGACAAAAGTTTTTTGTTCCCAAGGTTCCCAGAACAAAATTTTTTCAAGGTTCAACAAAACGAACATTTTGATAGCGTTAGGGATGTTTTCAATTTATACTTAGCTATTGATGTAAATAATGTACTAATTATTGATCTAACATGACAGATAGGCAATCGTTTAAAAACATAATAAATAAAAAGTTTCTTAACTTATTCCAACTCAATTAAATTTCCTTAATGAAACTTATTGAGGTTAACAACACTTTTCTACCTTAGGCTGAGGCAATATACGAGTTGGCTCTGGTGTAAAAAGACGTTATGAGCTAGCGCGGCTCGGCAATCTTCCGGCTGAATTATCTTGTTGCGGGGCCAAAATCAATTTGGGCCGCGAGCTAATGGCGCGCGATCAACGGGTTAATAGCGGAGTCAATTTCGCAGAGATAAAATGGCGGTTAATTGAAACAATATATTTTACGGCGTGCGTATATAAGACAGTGCGAGTTTAATTATATAGAGAGATAGAACAGCCCTGGGCGAATTTTAAGTGCTTTTCTGCTTATCATCGCGGCGGATGTTGACTTTCGCCGCCGGTGTATAAATTTATCGCACGCACATTGCACATATTCATTAATTGGCTCGTTAATTATGCAACAACTTGGTGCTGCATGGACTAATAATTGCACTTTCCATGCAGACGAATTAATCCCGTCTCAGTTTCGCTAGCAGCACAAACTAATGGTCGATAATTAATATCATTCGTCATCCAGAACAGCCGCTTTTGCGTGCAGCGCGGGATCAAAAAGCGCTAATCCGTCTGTGGATTATTTATTGTACAGCGATACATGGTGCGGTGCAGCGCGGATAATGAATTTGAAAATTTTCGCTCACATATCAGACACGTTGCTCGGAGGCAGCAATATTTCCACAGCGGCCGAATGAGAGAGAGAGCAAGAGATAATGGAACTCGAGAGCGTGTTAATAACATATTGGGTCGCGAATTAGCTAATGGCTACAACGGAAAATCGATGGGCTTTCAACGCAGCTGCAATTTGTAAGCGCTGCTTTTAAAACTAAAATAAATATGTAAATAAATGTCGCGAGAGGATAAAAGAATTGAATATTGAAGTGAAATACAAAGATTTAGGACAAAATAAATGTGGGAAGTGGAAATTTGAATTTCTGAATAGCTTAATGGAATTTTTGACAAATTTTAGTGAGTTTGAAACAAATTATGAAGAACTACATGCCGACTGATAATTTTCCCAGGTATCTTATCTGTCTGCATCCAGTAAATTATTAAGAGAAGTTTCCAATTTGAGTATAGAACTACACACACATCGTACTTTCTAAATTTCTTACGTTCATATTTCTTCACCACTTATAATCAGTGATTTTAAGTATTTAGGATCAGAGGTGATATCAATTAACGCCAAATTTAAAATATATTTTGAGAGAACTAAAAAGAATACCACATTTTTAGAATTTTCTGCTTTTTATTCATTTTTCAAAATTTAAAAGAAAATTTGAAATGTAATAATTTTCAAATTTTATTCCTTCTCTTTTTGTATATACTCTTGAATTTTTGTTTTAATATACTTCTTCTGAATTTCGTTAAAATAAAAATTATTTGAAGCAGGCAAACATAAACATAACCAAAATTAAAATCAATTCTTTAAACTACATACTTGACTTTCTCAAGCTTATTCAGCCCACATTTATTTAACATTTTCAATAGATAAAATATTCAAAAAAGTTAATTACAAGTTTCTACTCTCTCTTAAAAGTTATTGTAGCACTTGCAATTGAATAAGACGGGAATTAAATTTATTTCACAGTAACAGGCAATCTTCACAAAAATCATTATTTTTCCTTTTCCTCCCTTCTGACTTAAGAACCAGTTTGAGCTTCTTTCCCCCCTGTATATACGCATGCTTCCCATGAGTGGCGATTTGACCTTTTGGCCTGCGTGACGTCAAATGAAAGTATTTCCCAAGAATTCGCCCGGCGGAATTGCCAACCGTCGCTAATTGCCTGCGCACAGATGAAATACAACCGGCCGTGGAACATAAGCCGGGAAAGATGAGTCGGTGCCCTACGAAAGAAGGAATATCTCATTTACCGGTCTCATAATATTCCCGGCCCGGTCCGCAGCTAGTTTTCTCTCGGCTGAAATAATAGTCGAGCGACGGTGGAGCGCAATTTCGCCGGGCAAACGGCCACTTTGCTCACCTGGCCTCGCAACCAAATGAAATGTGGGCGGCTTTGCTGCATAAAAATTCCTTCCTCTCGGCTGCTGCTGCCGGTGCATAATTTTTTATTATCGGGTCGTAAAGCAGCCGGCTAGATAGGCTGCGAAATTAAATTGCGTTTGATGAGAAAAGGGGGAGCTTTACTGCCGTTAAGAGGCGTTTGCCTGAGGGCTAATGCAGTGTGAAAACTGCCACGCGAAGGACAATATCGGGCAAAATTACGAGATGGCTATAATTAATTTTTAAAAATGCCGTTAAATTTGAATAAACTCCCAAATTACATTATGGAAGTTGCTTAATAAATTAGATCCTTGGCAGATTACTCTGCGTTATAAACCTTAATTTATTATGGTAGAAAAAATATTTCTGAAATTGGCCTCAATTTTTAAAGAGCGCAAAAATAAAACGAAAATTAAGCCTGAACCTAGAATTGGCAACAGTGAAAGTAAATGCATAAATGATAAAAATAAAGTTTCTTAAAAAGCTGTTGAATGGTTAAAAGCATACTTTTTTTCTTTTTTTTTTTTAATTTCCTGAAGAATCAATTTATTTCTGGAATATATTTATTTTGCTTTTAGTTTTTTTAAACACAGTTTTTAATTTGAAACTCGGTTTGTGCAGCTTCATTTTGCTACTCAATCTTTCTAACTATAATATTTAAGTACGATGCATTGCTTTTATCCTCCAAAGGTTCAATATCTTGCAAAAATTTAATTTCATCTCCACAGTATCAAATAATTGAAAATGTGAGCAAATTTTTTGAAATAATATCATCACTTTGAAAGTTGGAAAAGTAGTATTTCTATGTCAAAATAATTTCGTTTAAACGCCTTTGGAAATTAAATTTATGCAACCTGAATGACACTTGTAACAAGCAGGTTGCTAACGTTTTTTTTTCTTATATTATTATTAATTATTAATGAAGTGTCAAACTTATTTCTGAATTATTATTTGCCCAAAGTTCGCTATGTTGCACAAATTCCAAGAAGGATGCAATAATTTGACAACATCCCGCTCCGCACGATTTGCCCTCATCTCCGCAGAGACCCGTCGAATCATTCCTCGGGCAAGTTTTGGCGCGCGCAATTCTCGCTAAAAGCAATTAATTAGGCATTCGCGGCAGGCGTCGCGTTAATTCAGCTTACGTGATGCACGCGAATTACGACGCCCTGGGCGGCAACCTGCCCGCGACACACAAAACTAAAATGAAATGTCACGTGTGTCGTGTGCATAGATGTGTCGTTCGTCGCACACACGTCTCTGATGCTTTTCTCGCACGTGAAGCGAAACGCCGCCGCCCGCTGGCATATTGCATTCAATCCTCGCTGGAATCCCAGCAGCCAGCGAGAGGTGCAAAGAAAATGCCTTTGCAATGACGGATGACAATTTAACAAGCGCATAACAATGAGAGCGGGAAAAATAAAATGCATACACGTCCGACGGATAAATCACCAGAGAGAGAACAAGAAAAAAAGTCAGAGTCGTCAGCGAAAGGCTTTGACGCAGTGGCGATACGAGGAAATATTTAATTTGTTTTGTTATTTAGCAATTTCACTCATATAAAATATTTAAATCAAAATTGTATATATTATATTATTTTCATATTAATTTTTTTTCCTAAAGAGCAAGGTATAAATATATTTTAATTGAAATGCGAGGCACGTCCTAGTTGGAAATTTTGTGGAAATATTTAAAAAAAAAAAAATAAACAGATCTACTGCAGCTACGGACACGGTCTATGACCTATTTTCGCCGCATGACCCCTAATTTCGTGATCAAACGTTCTTCTGCAAATAATTTTTCTCTTGAATTTTACTAAGTGAATATTATACCAACATATAATAACTGCCGAACACAGCATTGAAATTTGTAGGTCCGCTACCTAAACTATTGGGCAAATATTTCTAAATCACTTTTGTCGCCGTCGCCAACAGTCACAAATATTAATTAAAACTGGAAATTTTAAATAATAAAATATTGAAAAATAGATCATTTCCTTTAAAAATTTCAAGTGCCTCTGGGTTAGGATGCAGGCACAGAATCTCTCTTTACCATAAATAATAATAATATGTGCAATCATCAATACTCACAATCAGATTAACTTGGACGTCAATGCTGGAATTTTTTCTATATCCAACCTTGATAAATATCCATAGGAAGTGCAAGATTGCCAAGATCTCGATTGATGGCACAGCACGGCAACAATGCTTGGTTCCTCACGCAGCCTGGAGTTCTAGAGCAAGATATTTTATAGGATTGTCTAGAAAAGAAACAATATATCGGGCAACACTGTTGCGGTTTTGTCAGCTCACAAAATATTTTCAATTGCTGGCTTTGCAGATGCCAAAGCTGACGCTGACGCCTGACGCAAGAATTTGAAAAGTGAGAGAAGGGAGGCAAAATAATCTCTTGTATTAGTGCAGTCCACGCAGTGCAAAGGCCAAAGCTTCACTGGTTGGTATCAGAGGCGTCAGCAACTCAGCGTAGCTGCTCACATCATCATATTTTCGTTCACGTAGTTTCTTTCTGAATTCGGAAGAATCCAGACCTGAGTTCACCAGACCATTATTTCCTAATTGCAAACATGCCTTTTCCAAGCTCCTTTTTCCTTGTGCTTGACAGCCGTCAGGCTGCTGTAGCAGTGGCATTCATGAAACTCGTAAGTACATAGATTACAACAATTTCATGTACAACATAATTTTGAATTTTGCGATCCCCAGGTCTTCAATTATGTAATTTATTTTCTCGTTCAATTTTCAGTTCATTCATGTGCCATTAGCTTTTCTGGTGCGATTCATTTTCTCCTTGACTGCCAAGATGCCAAGAATTCGTGATCTTGATGGTAAGCTAGTTATGCAGTTTGTTTTACATAAAAAAATCCGTTTTTTCCTTAGAAACTAAGCTTCACATGCTGGTGAGAATCTTGCATTTCTTGAACTGGACATTCGCTGCAGAAATTTCCATCATCATGCTAACTCTGCTGATGCTGTATGGTACAATCAAGGTACATAAACTTATCAAGTTTTTCATTATTTCTTTTACTGTGTGGTTTCCTACTAAGCAATATCAATATAGAGGCACGTAAAACTTTAAACTTTAGTTCCCAAATCAGATTTCTAATATGTTTAGTGTTATATTATTTTTCACACCTAAAATTTAATGCAGAAGATAAATATTTTAAATATATTAGCTATTAAAGTAAGTTGTGAGTACAGGTCAACAGCAAGTGGCAAATAGTAAGAAAATAAAAATTATCTGTAATTAATTCCGTGTGTTTTTTCCACAGCGAATTTGGTGGTTCTCAATCCCTTGGCTCATTCTGTGCCCAATTGAGCTCATTTTCAAGTTCCTGCTGTATGCTGATTTGGTGGATTCTTTGAATGAAACCTTCAAGGCTTATACTAATTGGGCAGCCCTCCTGTTCTGCACCTTAGCCTTTGTTCTGATGATAGGCAAGTTGCATGCCCATTAAATTGTTTGACCGCAATTGAGAATTATTTTTATTTCAGGAATTCAGATGTACGAGTTTCTTGCCGTCTTCTGCAGCATGAGAGAAATTGCAATGGAGAACAGAAGCACACGTAACAGGGGCATCAGTACCGTACTTTAGTTTGACTCCAACCCTGCAGATTCAGTGTAGTAACTTTTTGATATTAGTAGTATTTAGTTCAGTTTTGACTCCTACAGTCCAACTTTTTTTGTAGAGAAATATTTTTTGATGTTCAGTTTGACGACACTTCAATCCTGATGGTTCAGTAGAGAAATTTTTGATTTATTGTAATTCTGTTTGACTCAAAACCACGACGCTGCAGGTTCAGTTCAGAAATATTTAGATGTAAAAGGTCCATTTTTGAAGCCATTTAAGATTCAAATGATCTTGATAAAGAGCTACAGTTAAATTTAATTCATCTATAAAATACTCTTGAATAAATAACAAATAATAACGAGAGGTCTTTTCTATTTTGAGAACACATTTTAACAAAATGATGCATTTTTCCACCTAAAAATTTTACTAGGATAAAAATCATTTTCCACCAGAAATTTTAAACTCTTATGAATGAAGGAATTAATATTTTACTTTGTTATTGATTGACTTTTTTCATTTATAGACAAAATATTTCCAACGCATTTCAGGAGATGAAAAAACCACCTAAATAGAAGCGCCAATTTTATAAAAAATTATTTACTATTTTCCTGTGCGTAATATTTGGCCAATTTTCAGCAAAGAATAAATATTATTCTTCATTTTTATACTTTTGGCTTAGTTGCTTACAAAATATTTCAACTTAATGGATGTATTATTTGCTAGAGCTAGACGTATAATGGGCCTCGTTTGGCCACTGTTCGGCAAGTTAACAATAAGGAAAAGCCATTACGTGTCTGGGAGCAGCAGTGAAGCCAGCAGTCTCCGTAAAGAGACACCAACGTCCTTCGGGTATTGCGAAGCGATAAATTTCTCTCGGCACATTTTGCATACTAGAACGCCTCGCTAAACGGGGGAGAAGAATGTACTTCTACCTGTCCCGTTTGCGTGTTTTTGTCCACAAAAAAAAACAATGCCATTATTCGCACGTTGAAAAAATGGGCGCGCTCTCTAAAAAAAGGGTGCTTTTTTTTTATCAAAATCCAGATTCGTGAAACGCTGCGGTGGCCGAGCGTGTTTATGACAAAACAGGGAGCTGACTGGACTGGTGATGGTCGTCGTCCTGGCCTGCACCACGATAGAGTTATCTCTCGTCGGCTGGGTCGCCAGCACGGCGTGAAAAATGCTTTCCGCTGGAAATCAGACAGTCGTAACATTCGCCCGGTCTAACTCGCCGCCGGATCGATTTATCATTAGAGTAGTGGTCCATCCGCCCGCAGATAGCGACGGAAAATTAGGAAGTGGCCTGGCCGAGCCACCGCTGCGCAATTGCAATCGCTTTCACGCGCGCCGCGAATAATGACATGGAAATTTTGCGCGGAAAGCTTAACAAAATTCGTCGTTAGCGAGAGTAAATGGCCGGTGCAGCAGGGACCACGCTCTGAGCCCTCGGAAATTCGCAAAACCCGCCTGATTCATGTCGGTGCTAAACAAGTGGTTTTGAATTCCTGCCAGTTTTTCCTATTCAACTCTGATCCGACGAAAACGCTCGTCAACGGAAAGAATTTTAATCAAATAAAAATTTTACATGAACTTCATTGAAAATTAAAATTTTATAAATAAATTATATTCATCAAAATGATTTATTCATATATAAATATATAATTTTTTTTTTATTAGTGATTGAAGGAATAAAGTCTGAAATCAAAATAAATTTAATTGCATAAATTAAAAATCAACAACCTAATGTGTCCTCAAGCAAAACAAAAATTTATATGTGTAGGCCTTTGAGTGATGCAATTTAATTTAAAAATAATTGACCTGTTACTTTTTTATCGGTATATAAAAAAAAACAATGACATTTTTGTCAGTTGTCATCAGCTCTCCAAAGGATTATTCTCGGTTCCATTAGCGCTTTAGTAAAAACCAACCACAGTAGTTTGGTCCACCAAACCGACCTTGCTAGGCCCACAAACCGAGAACCTGAATCGGTATGTTTTTGCTGGGACCACCAAATCGCCCTTCTTGATTTTGTAGTACTTGTTTTTCTCCACGATCCGGAGCTGCTGAAGGAGAGACAGAGCCTCCCTGTGGGTGACATTCTCGCGTCCCTCCAACTCTATTCTGATGAATTTCAGAGTTCGAACCACCCTTGGGGCGACAGGGAATAGCTTGGCATCACCGCCTTCGTGTAGTCCGAGGTCGGTCATCAGCAACCTGGGCAAGTAAATCAGACGATTGCCCAGGCGAGCATTGGGCTTGGCGATGGCATGGACCCATCTGGAGCCAACCTGAATTTTCACAACGAGCAAACCAGAGAGTCGCCTTCCCACAAATAACCTTCGCAAGAGTCCACAGCCCATCACGGCGGACACTATAAATGCAGGTCAAATCATTAATTCAACGTTTCAAAAAAATTAAGTTCTACTTACTGCTTTTATCTAGGCCAGCTTTTCGTCTAAATGACGCCAACGCTTGTCATTTTAAAAAGAATTGGGATACTTTTCAAATCAAAATTGGTGCAAGAATTGACAAATTGGTCTAATTGTTGCAAGAATGAGATGTATTCTAAAATCAGCAACAATCGGCATTAATGCGGCCTCAAATTCATACAAGCACAAAGGACGTTTCATATATAAAAATAATATTAATAAAAATAAGATAGAAAATCCGTGGATACCAATAAATTTCGCTAATAAACTTTGCACTTTATGATTTGTTTTTAGATTTCTTGTAGAATTGTACAACACGGGCAAATGATGATGAGGCAAATGAATGATTTAAATTAACTGAATGACATAATAAAAACTGAATTGAAAGTAAATCGTAAAAAAGCTTAATTGCGAGTTTGAGGTATATCACAGAGTCTGGGTGTTCAGCGTTTCAGAGCAATTAATATTTCATGAATTATTTTTAAAATGTCAATATTGCAGTCCATCGTCTGATACAAAGAATTTTCATTCTATTTCAAACTCAATTGAAAATTAGTCAAATAAAAGAAAATGCTGTGTGAATAAATTGCAAACACTTATTCAAATCTACACTGCCGCTGACTTTATGCCTTGCAATTTTTCAACGATCAGCTTGATGACCTGACAATAATGAAGGTCTTTAGAGCCCCGACGGCAGTTATATATGGGCCGAAGCAATTAATGGGTTGAATAGTTTGAATTGGCGAACAGACGGGCGGACGAGCCATCAGGTATGATTGCCCCAATTTCTAGCACAGCAATCTAATTACCGTAATAACTGCCGGCCAAACACCACGGCAGACGGACGTGTGCACGGACATCAGAGGTGTGCAGGCGAGCGATATTGGTGTACATGTGTAGCACGGACACACAAACAACTCGAGCAAACAAACAAACATGTAGGTATATCTCAATATCTCTCGCCTATCAGTCGGATGTAAAGTGAGCTGAATATACAATTATTTCGACGTCAGCTCCGGTGGCGTGTGTGCGATTGAATATGTAAAGGGATGGGGTTGGCCCCCGAGGCCTTTCCTCTCGAAGAGCATGAAATTGCATTAAATTTATTATGTTCCTCCGACATATTAATTCCATTACAGTGTAGCTCTGATGTGCCGGCGAGCCAGTCATTTTCGCATTCCGCAATCCGCCCTCGCTGCTATTTTATTCAGATTCCAACTCCCTGAACTCCCAGCCGAGGGAACACGTCCCTACCTTTTTGTGCATCTCACCGGAATCTCTGCGGAAAAGACTGCATTACGGTGCAGCAAAAGTCGGCTGCAGCTGGTAACACGGGGAAAGAAGGGAATAACTGACAATGGATAAAGACGAAAGCGACAAGACGAAGTGATATTTCATGCACGTCAAACACATTTGTAGAAGTGCATAAAAGGGGGAAAATTGAGCAATGCATCATGACTGCTTAAAAAAGGACGGTGCTAAATTTTTACTAACATTTTTTTACATTTTCTCTGAAAAAAAATTTTTTAACAATTATTAATTAATCAAATATTTGAAGGGAAAATGACTAATTGACCGGACTTCAACCTTTGATATGTCTTTTTAATAATTTATTGTTACATGCATTAAAATATATTTTAATGCATTGTGTTAATTTTTTTTAAATCAATCCAAGAGAAGCTTCAAATTAAAATTTCATCTACAGAAGTGGCCTTGAAAAGTTTCAGACAAAATTTAGAAGATTGGGAGAAATGGCAGCACACCCGGCTCCTTTAATTCATTTCAACAAGAAATAAAATTCTGTATGTACATGTATGAGGAAACCAAGCCAACCACTCGACGCACCCACAGGTACGCAGTTACGCACTGCGGCTGCGAAAATAAAGAAATTAGCCGACAGGAGCCGGCGACAGCACAATAACAAATGTGGCTTCACACATTTTCTCTTTGCCCAAAATAAAAAAGGTCCTTTTTCAACCACAATATATTATAGAAACAGGTGAAGCACACACCGCTTCAATTTTTTCTCTATATTCGGGGCAAATACAAACTCATACTTTATTGAATTGAAAATACAAAACTTCTATAACAAAAAAACATTGGCAGAGTCATGGTTTCACGTTTTTGCTTTAAACTACCATGAAAAAATAATATTTCTTTCTTTATACAGTAATAATTATCAAATCAAATCTTAAAACAATGGAAGCTAAAAATTCCGATTGTTTCCAACAATTGCCAAAAACATGGCAAAAATTTTTGAAACAAGACAATTTGACTTTCCTTATAATGAGCCCCATGCGAATTTATTTAGTCTTTCCGATGTCAATTTTGAAGATTTAATCAAAGGCTTATGCCACTTGCATAAATTTTATTTCAGAATTTCCTTTTGATCGCTTGATGTATTTGACTTTTGCTGCCGCCGAAACACGCCGCAATCAAGAGGCCATCAATTCCAGCAAACTCATGAAAAATTCATTCGACATTAATGAGCCTCTCTCGCACACAACTTTGGCAGAAACACGTCTCCTGAAGCGGAAAACGCCACGAGAGAAAAATAAACAAATTCGTCCTGCTCTCTCTCCAGTCCCAGGGAGACTTTTAATCAAGTTTATTGCTTGAGTTGATATCAAAGAGTGCGCGATTTCGGCGCGCAAATGTAAAATTAAGCGACATTTTGCGTCAGCTCTGGTGTAAACAAGCGAAAGAAAAGCGGCCTAAGGATGGATGGGACTCTCGCCACTCTAAATCCCCGCTTTTTACTACGGAACGCTTACCAGAATAACGCCCGAGCGAGTCGGATTCGTCGTCACCAGCAGAGAGAAAAAAGGCAAATTTTTACTTTTTTTACTCTCATTTAATTC